TCATCAGTCGAGTAACTTTCAGCTAGATAAAACATGGTACCACTCATCATTCGGTCACCCGATCCACACACGTGTGTGACTTCTCAGATTAAGGTTTAACTCACCTGATGAAATTTATTCATTCTCTGAGCTACTTATAGATTGTTAGTAGTGTGAGGATATTTGGGAAACTTTGATGGCGATTTCGTTCCATAGGTGTTGAAAAATCGATATGCATTGTACAGCCGTTTCATCCTCAATGGGAATCATAAACAGTGCTAATCTCACAAAACTTCAAGTAGTAGAGAACATGCGACTTCTCGGCGAGTATTTCAAACACAACCGTTCTGCCACGAGCAGAGTGAATAACTCGCACATAGGATATAACACTACTCACGTAAAACTTCCTTACGAAAAGTCGTCACTCGAGTCGACAGGTGACCATGGGATATAGCTTCCGAGATCGGAACGTGGGTGACTTTTATCCTGCGTAAGTGAGTGCTAATCACACTGCCATTCAGCTGCTCACAAGAGAACGGTTGTATTCAAACTACCAACAGGGACGTCACGTGTTCAGTACTATATGGGGTTCTTGAGTGATGTGCACTGCTGATGATTCCCAATAAAAATGGAGCCGCCGTCAGTACTTCTTGACTTTTCAGCGTAGACTGACTTCACTCACAGGACGAAATTTTTATGAAAATAGAGAGATTTACGTGAAATCCTATGATAAAATCGTAGCAGATGGACACCAGACTCAATATTCCCGGAGATTACTTTTGTGGAAACTGTTCGACTGCTCCATGTACGAAACTGCACCAAAATCCCCATAAATGTTTTGTTTTTTTGCGCAGTTTTGTGGACTCGCTATAAACCCCGCTTTCCCTCATTTCTGCAAAATTTCAAGTAGTGGAGAACATGCGACTTCTCGGCGAGTATTTCAAACACAACCGTTCTGCCACGAGCCGAGTGAATAACTCGCACATAGGATATAACACTACTCACGTGGTAAGTAAAACTTCCTTACGAAAAGTCGTCACTCGAGACGACACGTGACCATGGGATATAGCTTCCGAGATCGGAACGTGGGTGACGTTTTATCCTGCGTAAGTGAGTGCTAATCACACTGCCATTCAGCTGCTCACAAGAGAACGGTTGTATTCAAACTACCAACCGGGACGTCACGTGTTCAGTACTATATGGGGTTCTTGAGTGATGTGCACTGCTGATGATTCCCAATAAGGATGAAGCCGCTGTCAGTAATTCTTGGCTTTTCAGCGTAGACTGACTTCACTCACAGGACGAAATTTTTATGAAAATAGAGAGATTTACGTGAAGTCCTATGATAAAATCGTAGCAGATGGACACCAGACTCAATATTCCCGGAGATTACTTTTGTGGAAACTGTTCGACTGCTCCATGTACGAAACTGCACCAATATCCCCATAAATGTTTTGTTGTTTTGCGCAGTGTTGGGGACTCGCTATAAACCCCGCTTTCCCTCATTTCTGGAAAGATTGTTTTAGTGTCTACCAGCTGAGGCATTAATGGGGATGGGACACATCTAAATCTGTAAGTTCATTTCGTTCTATAATACACATCGAGCGGCAACTTGGAACAGGATTATGTACCTGGCCTTGTCGGTCGTGCAGGAGCGTGCATCATTCTCTTTCTGACTGCTATTTTATAGGAGAAAATCAAACTTCTTGAATTGCACAATATATACAGCCAGCGACTGCCCAGATGCATGCCCAACTATTTGCCGCCTGCGCATGCGATGACACCTGAAGAACAGAAGGAGACACCGCGGGTCTCGAAACACCTCACACAAGTCACATCTCACCGGACTATGGAAGTATGCGAAGAATCTGCTTCGAATAAAACCCAGCGAGTTGCGCAACAGTTGTACGGTCGCACCAGTCCGACAATATCTTCGACAGAGTCTGCCAGTTCACCCTCCTTCGGCAAGCAGGATGCCATCATTGAGATGGTGAGAAAATCAACCGAGTTGACTTCCCATCCGAATGGATTTGTTTTCGAGAAGACAGTGTCTCAAACCGCTCAGTCTCCGTCTTGTACAAGCCCGGTGGAAATGGCTGAGAACCTGTTCGTTTTGACGGCAAAGGAAACCTCAGACACTGGTGTAACCCAACTAGATGAGGTAATATATAAAATTAGGTGTGTTTACCTTTAGTAAATGGTGGATTCCTGTTGACGTCTACTCCCATGTTAGGTAGGCAAAGCTGAAGATTACATTGTTCATGTTCCATTGTCGATTTTATATACCACCAAACCAGACCTAAATTGCTGTTGCCGTGAAACCGAAATCATATCGTCCCAGCCTCACTTTGTTTCAACTACAATAATAGACGATAGGTATACTCTTTGTTTTGCTACAGGTATTTGGCTGCACAGCATTCATCATTACGGTTTAGCTATCTAAGGGACTGTTCTTGGAGCAAATTTACTGAAAATAATTATGAGAACAATCGGAAGCATTCGCTTAGTCTATTTCGAACATTCTCCCATAAATAACCATCCAGGTAATTTTTGCGGTGCGTACAGAGATGTTACTCAGTAAAAGGAAAAAGGCCCGAATGTGATCAGTCTGTCGGATCAATGACCGATTTACATCTGGGACACAGCACAACAACCACAGTCACACAGGAACCTATCGGAAACACGCATTGTGTGCGTGGTATAAGCAGCCAATGAGACGTTGAACAACACCTTAATCCGATTGGCCACTTACAGCATCATGTCACTCTGTCCAATGAGGTGATTCAGAAGAAAACAAGCATCGGCAAATGAATCATCCAACCGCAGCGGAATGTAACGCTTTAGAGACAGTACACGGTTCACTGATCTTGTTCACGCTTATGTCCCACCAGTGACTGGGTTTCGATCGCTAGTTTCCTCAATATTAACCTTCTGTAAAAGCACAGACTTTCAACTCCTCTCGATGATCAAAACAAGTGATCTTGTGATCTTGCAAACCACCGATACATGCCAAAAGCTGCCCCCAACACCAAGGGTTGTGTGGGATACCACGGGAAATGGTAAAAATGTCTTGTTAGTATTAAGAATGCACTCGTCCAGTGGTTTTAATTTTCTCTGATCTGGCATAGCTTAGTCATGCCTGCATACTCTCACGGATCGGCACCTCATACACCTGGGCCTTGCTGAATTCGCAAATTGCACGCAAGTATCGAAAGTGCATAAAGTGCCTTGGGAACTCGGTTTTCCATGTCGTTATTGTCAATGAGAATGAACACCGAGCGCAACGTGGATCAGTCAGTATTGATGAAGTTTCGTGTAGCCCTGGTTTAAAGTTCATCCCGAATAGTAGAGAGCTTTCTCAGGTAAACGGTGTTAGAAGGACTAAAGATGCACTATGCTCCGTACACAGAGGACACGCGGACTGGCAATATAGGTCACTCCGTCTAGATGTTAGCAAATGTTGCTCGGGGATTCAATTTTCAAAAGCACCATAGGACGCATGAAAGTTATCAGTATTTGCCCGTCGCTGTCTCTAAAGCACTGGTCCGGTCTCGTGGAAACGTTGAATTAATAATGCAGAAGTACGTCAGATGGTCCCAGGAAAGAGGAACTCCTCCACTCTCTCACACTTCGTAGGGAAAGCTGGTTAGGACATGTGCTCCGCATGTCAGANGACATGTGCTCGTATGGCAGAAGCCCCTGCCTCACGGAGCTCTTTCCGTCCAGTCCTGTATTGAATGGAAGCGTCCGGGAGGTGGACAGCGGATGTCTTGGCAACGAAGTCTGAAAACACTAATCAGTAAACTTGGTCGGATCGATAACCGCCACCCCTCTCGATAGGTACCCGGGACTAAACTCCCCAATGGTTAATGACACTGGTTGAAATGACCCAATCGCGCAGTTAGTGGCGCTCATGCTTCAAAGCTATCGCCTCCGGTGCGTTTTCATTCGGTTCCCGAACCAACTGAACAATGTCACCGCCCCCAAGCCTTGGCTGAATGTCCCACAATCTTCCACACTCCGATGATAGAAACTGTAGCTGCTGGAACCAGTGTACTCATGATACATAGTTTACAGTTGATAAACTGAACTGACTGACTGAGGAATCATCATTCCTAGAGTGATACAGTTTGATCCGCCTACGATCTTTGCAAACAGCCCCGGAATACCGCAAATCAAACCATGTTCGCATGGACCATACTTTGTAACTCCTGCCAAATAGGACTGTCCTGCTCTAGCTTCAAAGAGGTTGTCTTATTCTATCAGCTTGTCTGGTTCGATGCCGAAGGGTACCATCTCAGAATTTAGCAAAAAGCGCTATCCGCCGTTCATGCCTTACTAAATGCCATTTTGTTCAGTTGCAGCTTGAGTGACCTTTCTCTCTTCTTGATGTTTTTGACTGCAGTTCTGAGCTCTCTACGTCCTAATCTCACCAGAAACACAAACATTGGTGGTTTTTTCTCCGCGAGCTTGGTGGAAGCCCATGATTCACTTGGCTCCTTCCACAGAAACAAAACTGTGGCTTTATCTCGGTTTACGTGTATATATAAAATCCAAGGAGAATAGCCTATTCTCCTTTATCTGAGGGATGAACTCTACTGGAAGATAATGTCATCAGTACAAAGTCAGGGCGCCAATACGCATAAAACTTCCAAAAATTTTTCAGAGTTTTACAAACATGTTTTTTGACGAACTCTCTAGTACGGTTGGTGCTTGATTGATGTAGTTTTACTAGTAGTCTGTTGTATAACAAGATTTACGAATCGTGTAGCTATTGTTTACAGTATCCAGGGGTTTCCAATCTTACAGCTCGTTCTCCGAAGCAAACGCAACCAAACTTCCTCTAACTTCCAGATTTTCTGGGTAGTAGTGATTTACAATTACCATTAAACCTTGGCCGAGATTTCAGTCTATTTTCATAAAGAAAGCTACTCACAGGTTGCTGAAAACTCTTTGACGGTCCACGACTGATTTCGCCCTTCTTGGCGCTCATCAAATAGGCGCAGTCCTTGAGTTTCTGTCAGCCTTATGTTCTGCTCGAACCAAAATTGGACTAATTTTGACAATATGGTTTTCAAGAGAGACTCAACTTTGTTTAGCTCGGTGGGGACAGCATCCTGCTTTATCCAACAGCATGCTCGAGTGCACCGAGACAACTCACTTG